GACAGGACAAGTAAAAATGGCAGGGTCAGGTTGTCATGGGGGATGCATGGCAAAAGCAAAGGTGTGGAGAAGGTTCAGAGGAGACAGGACAAGTATAAAATGGTAGGGTCAGGTTGTCATGGGGGAAACTGAGGCACAGGCAAGCTGAGGTAGTACAAGAACAGTCTGAATTATAACAATATGCCAGTGTTACCTAAAAGGATGAGGAACATGGAGCTGTGCTTGAATCCCTACCTGAGCTGGGGACAAGGGGCCTCGGGCATCACTGATTGGAACCAAGGTTTGTCTGCAGCTTGTCAGTTTCTGTCTCAGAAGCTCCACATACTGGAGTGGGTATCCCGGCGATGCTGTGGGATAAACCAGGACACTGTGGTGTCATGGACAGCTGTCTGTCTGCCAGGTGAAGGCCCCTCTCGTTGCAGTGTGAGCCGGGCAGGTCATCCGTTTGGCAGCATGGTGACGGCTCTGGCCCCAGCTGCTATGGGAGGGAGGATGCTGGCACAGGGCACTGCCCACAGACTGCCTTTGCTCCATGCCTTTTCCATGAGCATGAGTGGCTGTTCATGTGGGAAACGGCAGAGCCTTCGTGGCCCCCTTCAGCACTGTGCAATGGTACTGGAGGTGGCAGGAGACAGCCTGAGGGCCCAGGTTGTCCTCATACCCGGCTTCATGCCAGGGTGCATGCCGGGCACAGCACATGTGTCCCCGAGAGGCCCCTGATCAGGGTGGAAACCCAGCAAAGTGAAAATCAGAAATAGTGATTCTCCAGTCCCTGCTCACAGACAAAGAAAGAAAGAAATCATAAGCAATACTAGGCCCGGCACGGTGGCTCACACCTGTAATCCCAGCACTTTGGGAGGCCAAGGCAGGCAGATCACTAGAGGTCAGGAGTTCAAGACCAGCCTGGCCAACATGGTGAAACCCCTGTCTCTACTAAACATACAAAAATTAGCCAGGCGTGGTGGCAGGCACCTGTAGTCCCAGCTACTCAAGAGGCTGAGGCAGGAGAATCGCTTGAACCCGGGAGGCGGAGGGTGTGGTGAGGTGGAGGGTTTGGTGAGCCAGGATCGCGCCACTGCACTCCAGCCTGGGTGACAGAATGAGACTCCATCCGCAAAACAAAACAAACAAACAAAAACTAAAGGGACAGTATCTTTTTAGCACCTGTCATTGTACAGGACGCTGGGGAGGGTACTGTGGACTTACCCTGGGTGGAAGGTCCCTGTGTGAATGGAGAAGCTGGATGCTCAGAAAATGCTGCTGCCTGTGATATTATCCCATTTAAAGAGGCAGTTTGCAATGCTTTTTCAAAAGTGGCATGCAGCATCAGAGAAAAGTCACCAGGGCTGGGATGATTCCAGAAAATGTTACAGAGCAAGTCGAATTTGACTTGAGGTTTGAAGGATGGGCAATATTTAAATAAAAATCAGAAAGGGTAGAGAGGGAGGGGCTGGGGGGAAGGCTGCCCACTGGACTGTCCTGTTCACCTCCAGGAGAACCTACAGGTGACACATAGTCTCTTCTCAGGTGAATGGGGAGCCAAGTAGCGCTGGCGTGGATGAGCCACGCTCGGGGCTCAGGGAGGCAGGCCCAGGGCCCTGCACTGCCTGTCATGGCTCATGAGTGATGGGAGAGATCTGGGCAGGCAACCCCCTCTCGTCCTGCATCATCAGCCCGGACTTGGAACTTGGCTGCTTTTTCTTTCTGCAGTGAGCAGAGGGCCTTGACCAACAATAAGCCTTTCTGCCAGCACTTGGCATTCCAGCTGACCTCGACCCAAGGCCTCTGTGACTTCAGGAGGCGGCAGCTGGGAAGGGTCGGGCAGTTCCAGGCAGAGCACAGACGTCAGCTCGGACATCCCACCCCCCACCAGCCCTCTACCCCTGTGGTCTCCAGAACAACTAACACCTCCAAGCTCCAGGACACTGGAAAAAAATCTTTGCAAAGAAGCAAGGGGCCATCTCAGAAAATCCAGGCCCCCCAAACTGATGTAGAGAGAGGACTCTGACAGCATCCGCCACTCCGGAAGGTCACGAGGATACAGACACCATCTGGAGCCACCTCTGCTTCTCAGCCCCAACCAGGCAAGCCCCAGATCTTCAAGGGACTGATCTGTACCTGGGAATAAACTCATGGGTGGATGAGATTCAGTCTATCACACCCTAAAACGCAGAGCCCATAGTATTGGTGAGTGGTTCATGTGTCTCTGAAGCAAATTTAGGGCTGTGGTTCAAACGTTGTAAAAGTTACAGAAAAAAATTCACTGGATACACACAGTGGGCTCTTTTAAATTAGCCTCATTTGAACTTAATTCGATATTTAAATACTCAAATAATAGATGATGGCCGGGCGCGGTGGCTCACGCTTTAATCCCAGCACTTCGAGAGGCTGAGGCAGGCTGATCCCTTGAGGTCAGGAGTTTGAGACCAGCCTGGCCAACATGGTGAAACCCCGTCTCTACTAAAAATACAAAAATTAGCCAGGCATGGTGGCGGGTGCCTGTAATCCCAGCTACTTAGGAGACTGAGGCAGCAGAATCACTTGAACCCGGAAGGGGGAGGTTGCAGTGAGCCGAGATTGCACCATTGCACTCCAGCCTGGGCGACAGAGCAAGACTCCGTCTCAAAAAAAAAATTTTTTTTAATAAAAAATAAAATAAAATAAATGAATCCACTGAAAGCGGTTTCTACCTTGATAGTTGGGTATGTGGCGTCATCGACATCACAGAAGGCTGATTGATATTACCTGTTACCAGTGTGGTTGAGTACAAATGTTTGAGGTCTGGTGAGAGAAGAGTTTGGTATTCAGAACTCATCGAGGCCTTTGCTTACCACTTTCTCTCTCTTGCAGTGCTCCCAAATGTGCCGCTTCTGTTGGTTCACATGCTCCCACGTAGTTCTATCTGATATTCAGGGCTCTGAATTTCAAGCCAGACTCAGTGAGTGTGATTGTCACTGCTTTCCTGTCCTTCCTTTATCCTCTGTAGACTTAGGTCCCGTTTTTGCAGGTTGATATTCCTTCTTCGCTGGGCCCTGGACCCGCTGCTCACCAGTGTGGTGTCTGCATGGGCACTGCCCAGACTTGCACTGTTGGTCCCTCGATGACCGCATGGTCAGGCCTCAGGGCTCTCTGCCAGGCCAATCTACAGCCCATTCAGACCTGATTTCTGGGCCTGGATCCAGGGGACACCATCTGGGAAGGGAGGGAGCTTCCCACGATACCACTGTGAAACTCACCAGGGAGGTCTTGGAAATTGAGCAGGCATCATTCAGATTCCATCCTGCTTTTAGGTCCTGAGAAAATCCTGCTTTTCCCTGGGTAACTGGGATAATGGGTCACCAGCTCCCGTGCCCTAGATGAGGACTAGTTAGCATTTTCTAGTGCCTGGAGATTTCCAGATGGAAGCTGTATTTGGGTCTGTGTATCTTTGTTACAGGATTCAATAATTCATGCACTGAATTTCCCTTCCCGGCAACTCGAGACACCAAATTGCTTCCTATGCTCACCCAATCACTTAGGAACTCAGCCTGTGTCTAAAGACCCTCTGTGCAGCCTGACCTGGCCAGCCATCCCCATACTTCCACATTTTTCATGCCTTTCTCCAACAGCGTTGCCGTGGCCCCTTAGGCGGCGATCGTTGTATCAAGGGTCACTCCCTCTTTTTATCTGTTGGCAGGAGCCCGTTTTCAACGCCCTCGCTGGAGTCCGGCCTGCACGCTTTGCTGAAAGAAGCCAGAGCCTCAGCCCTGCTTCCCTCTGAAATGAATGTTCCTCGAGCGCCCTCTGGTGGATTTTGGAGCTAACCGTCTGTGAATGCCGAGTGATGGCAACTGCCCTCCCGCCGCGTCTCCAGCCTGCGCGGGGGAATGAGACCCTGCGGGAGCATTACCAGTACGTGGGGAAGCTGGCGGGCAGGCTGAAGGAGGCCTCCGAGGCCGGCACGCTCACCACCGTGCTCTTCTTGGTCATCTGCAGCTTCATCGTCTTAGAGAACCTGATGGTTTTGATTGCCATCTGGAAAAACAATAAATTTCACAACCGCATGTACTTTTTCATTGGCAACCTGGCTCTCTGCGACCTGCTGGCCGGCATCGCCTACAAGGTCAACATTCTGATGTCCGGCAAGAAGACGTTCAGCCTGTCTCCCACGGTCTGGTTCCTCAGAGAGGGCAGTATGTTCGTGGCCCTGGGGGCGTCCACCTGCAGCTTACTGGCCATCGCCATCGAGCGGCACTTGACCATGATCAAAATGAGGCCTTACGACGCCAACAAGAAGCACCGCGTCTTCCTGTTGATCGGGATGTGCTGGCTCATTGCCTTCACGCTGGGCGCCCTGCCCATTCTGGGCTGGAACTGCCTGCACAATCTCCCGGACTGCTCTACCATCCTGCCCCTCTACTCCAAGAAGTACATCGCCTTCTGCATCAGCATCTTCACGGCCATTCTGGTGACCATCGTGATCCTCTACGCACGCATCTACTTCCTGGTGAAGTCCAGCAGCCGTAAGGTGGCCAACCACAACAACTCGGAGCGGTCCATGGCACTGCTGCGGACCGTGGTGATTGTGGTGAGCGTGTTCATTGCCTGCTGGTCTCCACTCTTCATCCTCTTCCTCATCGATGTGGCCTGCAGGGTGCAGGCGTGCCCCGTCCTCTTCAGGGCTCAGTGGTTCATCGTGCTGGCTGTGCTCAACTCGGCCATGAACCCGGTCATCTACACGCTGGCCAGCAAGGAGATGCGGAGGGCCTTCTTCCGTCTGGTCTGCAACTGCCTGGTCAGGGGACGGGGGGCCCGCGCCTCCCCCATCCAGCCTGCGCTCGACCCAAGCCGAAGTAAATCAAGCAGCAGCAACAACGGCACCCACTCTCCGAAGGTCAAGGAAGACCTGCTCCACACAGCCCCCTCATCCTGCATCATGGACAAGAACGCAGCGCTTCAGAATGGGATCTTCTGCAAGTGATCGTCTCTGTGCGCCCTGCTCTGCGGCTGTGTTATTTATTGCATGCATCGCTTCCACAGGGGCCCCTCGAGAGCTGTGCCTCGGGAGAGCTACCGTACTTTGACCAACAGCCTGCCCAGTGTGGACATCTCTTACAGAGGGGGCCCGAGGAATCACCACCCCATTTCAGTGTAGACAACGTGCCTTGTCCGCTTTGGGCTCCAGAGCCTTTCAGATGTACTGAGCTGCTGACATCATCCACAGCCTTCTGCTGAATCCCAGACACCCTCCCTGTTGTCCACAGAGAGGGAAGGTCGTGGGCCACATAATGCTGTGTGACTCTCCGTGTGCCTCTGAACAGTGTTTTGATGATTTACACTACATTTCCTATGCATAGAATGGATGCTTGTATATTCGTACATCTCTATGTTACACAGAATTTGTGTTGCAGGTGTTTGCCATGTGGTACATACATAGAATCTCCATACAACCCAGGTAACAGGTTATACAAGTGGGTTCGGACTGAACCCCCGGTACAAGGACATGGTTGTGAACTAGGTGGACATGCCATCCCTGGTCTCCTTAGACTGACATGAAGTCTCATGTTCACCAAGTTTTTGAAGTTCAAATTCTCCAAAAAGGGCTTGTCCAAGGCTGGCCCCAGATGTGAGGGTCTGACCCACGCCAGCCCTGTGTCCTTTCAGTCATTTGTCCCTGCGTAATTTTAATCATATCCCAAAGTCAAATGATGTGATGGTTTTCAGGTTTCTGCAAATCACAGAAAAGCCAGTCGAGATCACGCAGGAGCTTGTGCCCCCAGGCGGGCCAAAGAGCAAGCCTATGAAGGAGCAGCAGAAGCGGGCGGCTGACCTGGCTCACCTTCCCATGCCACTGGGGCGGGGGTCTGCTTCAGGAAACAGAAGGTGTCTAGGAAATGAGCAGAGATTCACAAGACAGCACTTCGATTCTATGTTGAGTTTGTTTCTATATTAGAAAAGCACCAAGTCAGTAATCCCCCGTGGTGTCACAGCTGAGTAGCTGTGGCCACCAGCAGTTTCACAGCTTCCTGAAAGCTGGGACTAACTGTGATTATCAGTAAGAGAAGTTTAATTGTCAGGTTAGAAAATGTGATCTGGCAGTTGATGCATTCTTCAAAGTGATCTATTGTAATAATACCTACATGATACTGTAATTTTACTTTTCAACATAAGTTGAACCTGTAGCAGTCTGTTTACCTTGTAAAGGGATTTCTTAGAAGACATTTTTGTACATGCTCTTCCCCAAGGATTGTACGTGTTATACAAATAGATGGAAAGAAAAGTGAACATGTTTGTAGAACTATCATAAGCACACAGTAGCCATGTTGAGTTCTCTTTAAAAACAAGGACAAAACCAACTAGCCTTCAAAGGAAGCTCACATCAGAGTTCCCTGAAGTATTTTAGGTTCAGTGAGCATTTGCCTGAATTAAACCTAAAAGAGTGGTCTTAACACGTTAATAACTTTTTCTAAGAGAAATTGATTCCTGTTTTGTCATCTGATGCAAGCTGCTCTTATAAAGAGACATTTTTGTGGGTTCAGGGTAACTCATCTCCATGGGCTGACCAAAGACGTTTCTAATTTTTGTTACTGATGAGATGAAACCTATTTGTAAGGAAATCTTCCCCAGGAGCATTTCTGTTGCCTTCTTGACATCAATGAAAAGTAGCGTATTCTCTTATGAGATAGCATGAGAAAACCCAGGGCATTTCTAGGACAGTAAAACATTGAAGTACTGGATTAAGAAAATGACAGGCCAGGTGTGGTGGCTCACGCCTGTAATCCCAACATATTGGGAGGATGAGGTGGGCGGATCACCTGAGGTCAGAAGTTCAAGACCAGCCTGGCCAACATGGTGAAATCCCATTTCTACTAAAAACACCAAAATTAGCTGGACGCGGTAGCGCATGCCTGTAGTCCCAGCTACTTGGGAGGCCAAGGCTGGAGAATTGCTCAAATCCGGGAGACAGAGATTGCAGTGAGCCGAGATTACGCCACCACACTCCAGCCTGGGCGACAGAGGAAGACTCTGTCTCAAAAAATAATAATAATAATGAATAAAATAAAACAACAACAAAATGCATCGGAGAGCCAAGACATTCAGTATTGCATTTTCACATAGGTGATGAAATGACTTTGGAACTTTATCTGTGTTATAGTTATGAATTGCTTTGGGAGTCTTGGAGCTCTCTCTAGCTATTGTTCATAACGCTTTGCTCCATAACCCTGATGTCCCCAATATCTAAGTATCTCAGCCTTCATCCATTAACTCTACTAGGGAGCCCACAGCCACCATTCCCACTAGGAGGTATCAATGTTTGTGATATGACATAAGGCTCCCTTGAAATAACAAGACTTTTGAGCCATCTGAATTAAAAATACATCAAAAAAGTAGTTGTGCTCATTTGCTAAATGCAAAACATAATCACCTTTGATACCAATGTGTTCCAATAAGTCTAACTAGCTAGCCAGCTGGAGATAATTTAGCAGCTGAATGTTTCAAAGCCCTAACCTTGAAGTTTGGGAACAGGTGGTCTTCTGTGCTGCAGAGAAACTATGCATTAGATCTCTTTTCAATTAGAAACCTTTACTATTTCCAATGTATGTTTGTTAAAAAAAAATAAAATAAAACCAAAAGGCTTCGTGTAAACCCACTCTTGGGAGGCCGTGAGATGGGACTGTTTTGTTGTTTTCGCCGGGCGCCCTCCCCACTGCAGGGGTGCGCGCTGTTGCAGGCTTGTTACCCACCTGTGTTTCTCAGCATTTCAGGAATTAAACCACATGCAGAACCCCAAAGAATCTTTCCCCTTTCTTCTTCTTCTCCACTACCATAGGTGGTGTTTTAATGAAACTTCGGTGTATTGGGTGCTATTTACACCAGTTTGGTAGGTCATACTATTTTGAGAATGGTCTTTTGGTAGGGAGAAATTTGTAAGACCCATGGCAGCTCAAAGACATGGGACCTCTTGTCCTGCCCCATTTGCTCTTGTTTATGCAGCAGGAGAGAATAAGTCAGAGCCAACCCTTGCACACTAGCTTTCTCCCATACAAACGGTCCATTTTAGCCTCTCTGACCTGCGTGCTATGTAAAGAGGAGGCCAGTGCTCGGCATAGCTGTTCTGGTAGCGATGCTTGTTGCAACTCATGATGAAATGCCCCAACGCAAGTGAGGACACAGCTGCCCACCCTGGTGCTAGAAGGTAAGGTGAGTCCTCTAGGAGTACATCTGCCAGGATACATCTTCATTCCACAGCCTCGGTGGATGGGACGAGGCTCTGTTGTAACTGTTTTTTTAAAAGTCTCCCAGGGAACCACGGACAATACCTCCTTCCTAGAGAAAAGTTTCAAGCTCCCCTCCTTTCTTTAGTGAGGCAATACAGAATCCATCATCCAAATGAAAGATACTTTTCACAATAGCCTTTATTGCCTGCAGACTTACATGTATAGTCCTTTAAACAATTAACTGTTTAGAAAACGGTTGCTTTTCTCAACCCTTGAGCCAGTTATTCCACGCTGGTAAGACCCTTTCACAGAAATGTAACAAGGTGCATTTTATAGAAAACATCTAATTAAATCACCAATTTCATGCTTTTAAATTGTATCTACAAGTGCAAAACTGCAACACCCAAATGTTTTTAGTATCTAAGTCAGATATCCAAAGGTTAGCTACATAATCAGAAATGCGCACACCACTGTTCTGATAATAAAGGCACATTTTCCAATAACCAATTATAACAAGAAGTGCAGCATTACCTAAATTGGGTGTGTCATCTTCCCCTCGTGGGTCACGGGATGACACTTGGGGATGCGATGCCGTGCCTGCACTTGGCGATCCCAGGAGCACAGAGATGCACCAGACAGATCATGAAGGGCTCATGCTGGGAAACCACACCATTTCCTGACAGAGTGAAGGAATCGCTGTGGATTCATCGAAAGGGACGAGGGAATTTAAGCTAATTCTCTTCACCTGCTGTGTTGTCAAATCTCCAAAACACTGACCAGATAACTTAGGTTTTATCCTTCGTCATAGAACAAAGATTAGAGAACTTGAAAATCATTTTGTATTTCCACTCCTCAGGGACGTCCAAAAAGCCAGTTCTGTTCCAGTACAAAGTAGAAAGTGGTGAATTGGCAATACGCCAAGACATAGACCATTACAGTAATTCTTTTGTTTCACAAAAAGTTAATGGAAACAAAACAACTTTCAAATAATATTCATTTGTCAATATGTATAATTTGCTATCCAAATGCTTTTTAAAAAGTTATTATCTTATTATTACACATTAAATTTACATGGAGTTGTTTCCTAATCCTGGGATTTTAACACCAAATGTTTAATTCTGAATACAAAAAAACATTCACATACTTAATTTTACAATATTCTGGAACAAGTTATATTCAAAAGTCAAATGAACAGAGAACATTCCACTTGCAACCAACACATAGTTGTTAACAAAATTAACCCCATTAATATTTAAAGATGGATTTATCCATTAATGCCTGTTTTAATTGCCACTTGATTTTGGTGGTTAGAAACTTTGGTTATGGTAAAAATGACCACGAGTGGGAATTCATCACCTCAAAGCTTGGGACCACAGCTCCCTGTGCGCGCATCTTTCTGTCTGCGGTATTTCAAGGTGAGACAATAAAATAGTCACCTAAAATTGTATGAGATTTTATTCCTGGTGCTTTTTCAGCGAGAACCGTTTTTCCAGCCCTAGGGAAGGAACCTGTGTGTTTTTGGCCGGAGGGATTCATCAATTCAGAACATCTGTGACAGCCAGGAGGAGGAAAGAAGGGAGGCTGGGATCACCTCCCGCCCCTTCTAGCATCTCTACTGAGAGTGGCAACTCCAGCTGTCCCTCCCCATCCTGAGCCTTCCGCGCTCTCCTCCACGCCACTAACACTCAGTATCTGACATCTGCAGTGCGAAGCCTACAGAGTCCCCAGACTGACCTGGGCACTCCGCTCTCGTTGGTTCTAGTTTACTTGGACACACGGGTACCTTAAGGCTTGTCACACTCCACACCTTTGTGTGTGTGTGTCTATTTCTTTCTAGGTTATAAACTCAGGCAGAGACCTCATACATTCACTTCTCTATCCCACGATTCCAGTACAGCGTTGGCCACGTATTAACTAATGTGCAAATGAGCCCAAGAAGCTGGCCAGAAATCCCAAGAGACTGTGCCAAGTACATGCAGCTGCACCTGGGAATACACCAAAGCATGACATCACAAGCACAGCCTCCTCCACCACACCTTCCCTTTCTCCTCCTTCCCCGCTGGCCTCAGACAGCTATGCATGGCTGCATGAACAAAGGTCTAAATCTAGGCTTGTTTTAGCCTCCTCTTCCCTTCTTCTCATCTTTATTCTGCCTCCACCTTCTTCTTTCCACGTCTTCCCCTGCTGGCTTCTCTGTCGTTTCCCACAGTGGGTTCCCCCAGCCCCCATGGTCCTCATGTCCTGTTCTTGTTCCCTTTGTGCTGGATCCCACATCCTACAGCATCCAGGACCATCCTCCATGGCTGATGCCACAGCCTGCCAATTCCCAAATTCTTCACGTTTGTTTGACTTCCTAGCTAGTTGTAAAACCAAAGCCCAGGGAGGAGTCCCAAGGCGCACAGCATAGAGTCAGTCTGCATGTGTACAGAGACGCAGATCCGTTTTTAATCAATGTAAGTATATGCATGTACGTATATACATATGCAATTCACATTCACAAGTCCTGGTATAAAGTTGCAATTTTTCTGGCTGCTATAAAATGTGCCAGTTTTAAAACTGTGCATTTGTTGCTTGCAAACTTATAAATATGTATAAACCCCATTATAAATAAATTGTGGCTGGCAGATGGCATTTAAGCTGCCAGCAATGGTTGCATGGAGTTATAAATGCTTATTAATTCTCCACTTTTAAATTCACAGCACGGACCCTGGGATCTGTGACATGAAGTGGTGTGAAAACATAATTATAAATTAGAGGGGGGAAAGCCATCAATAAGAGACAGGTAAGGGCTGGAAACTCTCACTAGTGAGTGATTCTCAAAGTCAAGACTTCAGAGCAGCTGCACCAACATCGCTTCGAGAATTTTTGAAATGCAAATTCTCGGGCCCCACTGCAGTCCTAGGGAGTCAGGAGTTGGCGGGGCCAGGGGGTGGGAGGGCCTGCCATCTTTGTCTGAACTAGCTCGCAGGGTGGTTCTGATGCCTGCCTTCCAGCCGAGTCTGCTTGTCATCAACGCCTGTCTCCTGGCCCAAGGACTTCCCCGGCTTGGGAGGCACGTACAGGTGTGTGCAGGGCCAGTCAGAAACTGTTTCCAGAAACAGCCTTCCATAAGTGATAGACTTGGTGACTAAACACCCCAGCCGTCTCCCCACTCTGCTGGGCTAACTCTGGGGTGTCAGCTCTGTCTCTCAGGGTTCCCCAGTGGGATTCGGCTCCAGTTGTGCACGTGATGGTAACTCACTTGATAATGCATGTCTTCCTCGTCAGCTTCCTTCTCGCCCTACTCCTGGGATCTTCACTCAAATAAACTACATACCCTCAAGTCCTCTCTCAGGGTTTCCCTCTGGAGAAACCCCAACTAAGACAGAGGAAACAGAAACACTGCCTCTCGCATCTGAATGACTCAGGCTTTTACGCATTTCGAGATGGAGCACAGATGTAGAACCCGGGAGGGAAGCACTGCATGCCATTTCCATGGGGCGGGGGGTGAGCTTTACGCACAGGTCCAGGAGTGTGAGTCCTGTGCTCTTTCCTAAGTTGATCCCCAGGCCCTTGCATGGCTCCAGTTTCCTCTTCTGAAAAGCGGGGCCCCCAGCTGGGCTGTCTTACCGAGCTCCCTGCCCTGTGATCCTGTGCGGAGCTGACAGTTCTAGGTTGGCACTATGTCCAGGAGTGGGTTTGTCCACTTTATCTGTCTTAGAGCCAACTTTGAAAGTTCCACGGGAGAACCTGAGTATTACTCTGAAACCCACTGCAAGGTCTGTCTGGGTCCTGCAATGACCTCTTTGCGATCTTTCCACAATCCTCCTACTCACTCCCAATCCTACTGTCACTGTCCACAGAAAGGGATCTGTGGACAGCACGCAAAGCTGGGCCAGCAAGAGAGAACTGATGGGCACATTGGGAATGAAGAATTTTATAAAATCATTGCGCTTTACATGTTTCACGTATTTGTCAATCCCCAGCACTCCCTCAAGCTGGGAACATGTATAGCCCTGCGGTGTAGAGCACACCAAGGCTCAGAGAAATCCAGCAACCCGCCTGAGTCCATGCCGTTGGAGGTATCTACTCATGGCCAGCACTGCCCCTGCCCCAGGAACGCCTACAGTCCAAGGCTTCTGTCCCCAGCTCAGCCCAACAGAAAAGAAATGTGTGACTGCCCTTCAGGTGGCAGCCAGTTTGGAGGAAATGAGGACCCAGACGTCCATCTTAAAGCATTGCTTATAGAAAGAAGCTACCCAAGTTTCGGATGCTACTGAAAAGGAAAGCTTTATTTCGGGAGCTGGGGGCCACTTTCAGAATCCTAGCACCAGGCATGGAGGCTGGGCTGGACACACATGTCCACTGTGCCCCCAGCACATGGGTCCTTTAGGATCCACCCTTCCCTGAGCCTGTCCTTCCTTTTAAGTTAGGCCTTTACCTATACTCACGGCTTCTCATTTCCTTTCTTCATTAGAAATTCCCCACGACCTCCTCCTCCTCCAGGAGGCCCTAAAGAAGGCCATATATGGCCCAATCAGGCCTTTGTCCATTATCCCAACATTAGAGATGGCCTGACAAAATAGCCGCTCGCTCATCAAGGCTGAGCGGACGCCCAGTCTTTGGGCGCTTCTGATATAAAAAGCAGCAACAGTGGTGTCTTAAGCACAGGATTTAAGATTGAGTCATTTGACTGTGGTGTTTTTCACCTCCCCACCTGATTCTCCAGTGAGCTACTCAGTGGCAGCCTTGGAGGTCAAGAATCAAAGCTGAGTTAAACCACAATGAGCACCCCCATGGGAGGCCCAGCCGGCCTCCGCGCGACAGAGATGACATTTGAAGCACAGCTGATTCATTCGTGGGGTTAAGGGAGGTGGGTAGGGGTCTCTAGGGCCACTCAGTAAGGGCAGAGGGGCCGTTTTAGGACTGCTGGCCCCCACCTTGTACTCCCAGAAGACATAGAGTCTGGGGTTAAGTGTTGGGGGTGCCCATTGGAGGGGCAGCAGGGCCCAGGTGCACTCTGCAGGGCCATAGTGGCCCAGCACAGCAGCAGCAACTGTGCCCTAGAAGCCCGAGGCCCTGGAACGCAAGGTATAGTGCCGTTCCCACCGCGTTCACTGTTCAGCTTCCCTGCCCTGCCCAGGCAGAGATGTGCCCTGACAAAGTGTGGGGAAGAGGGGCCCAGGCTAGACAAGGGGGGAGGCTCCACTGCTTTTGCCTTGGAATCCTGAGCTCAAAGCACAGGCTGGCACACAGCAGGGCTCAGGAAATGCTGAGTGAGCAGGGCTCTGCAGCCAGATGACAACATGGCCTCCAGCAAGGTGTGGCACCAGCCCCAGCCTCAGTTTCCCCATGTGTCAGTGAGGCTCACAGGAATGGTCCAGCACATGGTGCTGGAGGGAAGAGTTGGGATAACTAACGTGCGCTCTAATCCGCTTTACAAATGGAAGGGAACAAAGATTAGAAAATCGCTGCCATCTGCTATGTCTGAAGCCTGCTCACTTCACTGGCACTATTCTAGTGTAACCAATATTCTAATCTGAGATTTAAAATGTATATTTTGAATTAATATTAAAAAGAAAAAATTTGACTCCAATACTTTGAATTTTTAAATTGATTCTCATGCAAAAAAAGTATTATATATCTTTTCTATCACCATCAAACTAGACACTGACTTCACAGCAGGAGCTACTAAAGCTGCAGATTACCATTCAAGTCCCCCCAAGAGAAAAATAAAGTAAATAAATGTTACAGCATTCATAGCTCCTAATTTGCATTTCCTACTTTGCTATTGTCCCTGAATGTTATAATAGCATTTTGACCTTTCACAAATGGGGAATGCACGAATGTTGAAAGAAGGTTATTTCGCACATTTTTCTATGTGGTGCACATGCACACACAGGTGGGTCAGAGCTGTGTGTGTCTCTCCAGGGCTCCCAGCCTCCCAGAGGACAGATGTGCAGGGCAGCTCTCAGAGCATCCAAGTCAACACTGTCTCGGGGCAGAAGCCTGATGCAGCTGCTGCCAGCATCCCCATGCAGCCCTCTGCTTCTAGATCACTAAGCAGAGTATCCACATGATGCCTGAAGCCAAAACCATTTCAGGAAACAGTAGCTCAGTCTACATTAGTGCCAGACTCTCCAGAGTGTCAATCCACTGCAGAACATTCTAGAACACTGACTTCACTGTCATCTCAAATTCATTGGACCCTCAAAGGCAAAACCCCCCTAGAAAGCCATGTATGAAGGCTGGGGCCTGCCCTGACTCATCCTCACTGGTTAGCTCTAACCTATCCTTCCATCTGGCCACACGCACACCCCAAGGCAGAAATGGGGCTCACGCCATTGGCATTAGAACTTAGCAGTATTATTATCTGCCAGAGGTTTCAGACTCCTTGTAACTCTCCTTACAGGATCAGATTTATCACTATCCAACTCTAAACATGTTTAGGGTGTCTTTCTGTTCTGCTGACTTGTACCCTACAGGGTGCTGTACCCTGTTGGGGTCTCACCAGAACGAGAGCCAAGCTGCCAACGAGCAAATGGATCCATCTATTCTTTAAAGGGTATCTGTGAAAATCACAGGGCAGTCTCAGCCCAGATAGTATTTGAAAGCCCTAAACATTGCCAGTTTTCTAACACCAAATGACTCCTCAGGAAATGACAGTATTTTACCTGGAAGAAAGGGAGTCAAGACAAAGAGTGGGGGTGGGCACATGCTCTTCCCTGCAGCGACTGGGAAACCTTGTTGGGACAGCAGGCCTTTCCCCCATCCCTCATGCCAGAGGCAGAACCTCAAATGGATTCCAGTGACTCCTGGGTTTCTGGCACATGCAGCCCCAGAAGTCTCAATGCCTGAGTCTCCGGGACTGAGCTCTGGGATGGGTGCCTGCTCTTGCTGTCACACGGGCTTCTCCCCTATTGTATAAGGTGGGAGGGGGACTTTACTAGCAACTACCACAAGCAGCCTGTAGTCAACCACTGACTAGAGGGAGATACAAACCAGGAACTTGCCCCGGCCACCCTTCTACAAATACCCATTTTAGCATTAGATGCACAAGAACAGGGAAGCACTTGTCAACCAAGATCTTGGTTGGTGAAGCTTATTTTGTGCCATTTTGGCATGAAATGAATTCCCAAGTACTCCTTGCACAACTGGGGTCAAGGGTGGCGGGGTCCGGTGCTCAGCAGGACCCGGAGGAGCTGGAGTGCCACCTGTTCTTTAGTGAAGCTGCAGTGAGTCGTCTGGTGCTGGACACCCCAGGCACGTGGAGTGCAGTGCAGGGAGCACAGGAGGTATCCTAGGGAGGCCAAGGGAGGATGTCTGCTCCCACCAGCAAGCACAGTCATGCCTCAGAACAAGTATCTCATAGCTTTCAGTGCAGGGCTAGGCATGCTCTGAGCAGCACGCCTTGCAATTCCATCACAATTCTGTTCTTCTATTCCCCTCCAATTGTGCTTATTAGGTAAAACTGCAAGCTACACCTTCCTAGTGGCATTTCCCGGTGGAATGGGTCAGTTGAATTAAATTTTTGCCTGGACAACTACAGTCAAACTTATTTTTTTTTTCATTAAAAACATACAGCACAGAACATTAGTCTTACATCTTTCTTAGTCTTAAAAAATATAAATATAGAGGGATACTTTGTACAGGATGTATAGGTATGTACACCTTTAATATGCATATGAGAAATTCAGAACCAAGTTTATGAAACTTGACCTTAAAGGAAGCCTTCCTTTTGAAGCTTTTGAAGAAGGCTCTGAGCCATAGGCAGCTGTCCCAGTTCCTGCAGCCCCGATTCCAGTCCACTCCAGGTCCTCCTGACCTGGTGCACAGTGCTGGGAGCAGCGCTGGCTGGGTCACTGCTTCCTCTCCACTGGCTGCTGGAGGCACAGCTCACTCCCCGCAGAGACGATGGGCAGGCTGCTCTCTAGGTGGTGGTTGATGAGGTGGCTGATACTGTCAAAGACTCTGTCCTTCGTCCGGATCTATGGATGAAGCAAAGGAACGGTTAAGCACATCCCACAGGCAGTAAAAAGAGAACATGCTTTGCTCAGAATCAGCCAGACCATCTGAACTGGCCCAGAAGGAAAGGAGGAGGGGACAAGGGGCTTCCTCCACTTTAGAGATGCCACCTGCAAAGACCCTGGTCACTAGCAATGGTCAATCCATTTCATTGGTTGGGCTCACCTCCAAACTACCTGAGGACCTTTCAGTAACCATAAGCCCAGGCCGCTGGGACTGAGCTCTGGAATGTCTCAGCCCACTGTCCTATAGGCATGGCCTCCCCAACCTTCACCAACCAGGGCCACCTCACCTGTCTCTCCTGCTCCCTCCCTGGGAGGGAACCCTGCACTGGGCTCTGCAGTCTTCCATGACCCTCCCACCTCTAGGCCTTTGCATGGCCATCTCCCGGCCCAGAATGAGTGTCTTCCATCTGAGCCTGCCCCACCTCAATGCCAGCACCTCCGGGCAGCCTTCCTTCCTCCCCAGGCATCCTGGGCACCCACCAGGGGCAAGCTCCACAGTTCCCCAGAGGAGCTCCTGTTGCCCCTGCAGTCCCCCACTGGAGAGTGAGCCAGGCTGGGTCAGAGGTACAGGCTCCATGTTCCTGGGCTTTCAATTCTACAGCCTGCCCATCAACTTTTAATGCCATGTTAGGGGAGAGGAAGTTGAACACTCTGCCCTGCTTGCTGGCCTGCACCGTGGTCCCTGGGGTCCGTCAGCTGCCTCCACTCTGAGCCGGCACATTCACAGATATGGCTCACACTTGAAAAAGGTGGGGTGGGGCCTGTCAGGAGCTGTCTTTCGAGGAGTTCTGGACACAATGCCCTGGGACTTGCATGTTTGAGAAGTGGGAGATGGAGGCAGAAAGCAGCCACCTGGCTATGTCCATTCACCCTCACAGGCCACCCTCGCGGTTACGTTCGAGGGTCAGTTGAATTCCCTGCTTCACTCTCCAGCCTTAGTAGGGGTCTCCTCTCCATCAGTGTGTGCAGATGAATTTCCAGGAGCCCATCCTTTCATGGGACACCCAGCTCTCCTTGTCCTCCTGCAGGGACTCCCAAGGCTATGTTCATTCTCCGGTTTTCCCCAATATTATCTTTTCCCCAAATTCTCATTGTCACTCCTGCTTCCACTAATGTGGCCACTCTTGCCTCTCCCCCTCCGTCAACCTACCAAAGAAACATCAGCCTCTGGACTTTTAACCACCATCCCGCCCCCACCCCAAATCTATACTTCAGGTGTGCATATTGGAAGTCCCCACCCAAGGTGCTCTGAGAAGCTCATACCATCTGCTCATGGCTCTACCAACTAGCAGCTGAAGGAACAGAAGAACTTTGAAATTAGAGTGTTTTCCTCCTGCAGGAACCCTCACCACCCATCTCTGTAAGCACCAGAGGGAGAAGAGCTCTCTGGACCAGAGGGTCTCCTGATTTTTGGGCACTAAGCCTCACTAAGGATGTAACCTGTTGGGCAAGTTCAGAAAGGAAGCTTTTGGCAAGACTTCCCAGCATCTTTCTACTGAAGTTGTTTAATTCTCTTGGGGCTCCTCAGCATTCCTGCCCCAGAAAGACCCCCTGAGTGACTCAAGCAGCATACTTATTTGGAAGCCGGGGGCACCAAGGAACTCGGCTTGAGACCAGTACTGGGGTGTTGCCTTAACATTGACTCCTTACTCTTTCCTTAATGACTGACACTCACATTAAGTTCTGAGCAAACTGGAATGGGTGAAGCGTGGTTTAGGGCAGGGAAGTGTCTGAGACAATAGTCTCAACCTGGTCTCACCTCCAAACCTCCTGAGGACCTTTTAGTAACCACAGTCCAGGCCCCAGGCCAGTTCCATAAGAAGCTCAGGGTGTGGCCTGGGCACCAAGTGTCTTAGGCTCCTTCAGTGATTCCAACATGCTGTCAAACCTGAGAATCACCAGTTAGCATATTTCAGTATATAGGCTGGCCAACATAAACACATATATATGTATTTACTGACTAAGGAAATAGAGAGGCCAGTTCACTTCTTTGCCATAAATACTGAAGTCTGGCTCCTGCCCAAAGAACTTACAGCCAACAGAACTCTCTGTGTGGACCCACCTGTTATGCACTAGAAATGCTGATGGCTGATTAAAAACCACTGGGCAGCCAAGACAAACTTAGACTCCAGACACACCTGCAAGGATTCTGCCACAGTGAAGACACATGGAATGTTAACCCCAGACAACTGGTTGAGGCTGTGCATAGTAAAGAGGAAATAAAAATCAAGATGAAAGCCTTCATTCTAGTCAGGCTACAGAAGAGACTAAAATATACATATACTAGAAATTTAGAAAAGTCTAAAATTCATCATCTAAGCTTCCACCTTAGGAAGCTAAAAAAGGAAGAACAAATTAATCTAAAGTAAGCAGGAGGAAAGAAATAATAGATAAAAATTAGGGCAGAAATCAATAAATTGGAAACAGCAAATCAGTAGAAAAAATAAATGAAACCAAAAGCTGGTTCTTTGAAAATATCAATACAATTGATAAACCTCTAGCCGGGCTAAGAAAAAAAGATGACAAGGCCCAAATTATCAATATAAGAAAGAAAAGCGGGGACTCCACAAGAGATCCCATGAACATTAAAAAGACAGTAAAGGAATACAGGAATAACAGAATTCAACCTTGTGGCCAGTTTATCAGGTTCTTATTTTCATTTGATTTACAATATTCCCAACATATGATAGGCTTAATGGGATGTAAGCTCATACTAGGTTGGGGAGCATCTGTATTATGGATGACTCTATGCTCATAAATTTGATAATCTAAATTTAAAAATTCCTTGAAAGGCACAACCTGCCAAAACTCACACAAGAAGAAATAAACAATTGGAATAGGCATATATATATTAAAGAAATTGAACCAATAATTAATAACCTTCCAAAACAAAAAACACAAGGCCTAGATGGGTTCACTGGTGAATTCTATCAAGAATTTAAGGAATAATTTATTTCAATTCCCTACAATCTTTCTCAGAAGATAGAGTCAGAGAACATACTTCCTCATTCTATGAAGTCAGCATTACCTTAATACCAAATCCAAAGACAGTAAAAGAACTCTAACAGAAAAGAGCCCTCAGAAATAATACCACACATCTATAGCCATCTGATCTTTGACAAATCTGACAAAAACAAGAAATGGGGAAAGGATTCCCTATTTAATAAATGGTGCTGGGAAAATTGGCTAGCCATAAGTAGAAAGCTGAAACTGGATCCTTTC